GAGGAGGAGGAAGAGGAGAAGATTTGGAGAAGTACATCTATCTCTCTTTCATTCTTTCTTTCTCTCCTTCACTTCTTTTTTTATTTCTCTCTCTCTATCTCTCCTCTCTCCCCCCCTTCTCTCTCTCTCTCTCTCTCTCTCTCTCTCTCTCTCTCTCTCTTTCTCTCTCTCTCCTCTACAGCCTACCTGCACAAAAGTCTCATGAACGTCCTGAGATGGGATGTCTATTTTCGTTTCCACAACCGTTTCCGGTTCCTGCTGGCTCCCGGAGGCCTGCTGCTGCTTTACTTCCTGTTTTACATCTGCGATGACGTCACCAGAGTTTGTGTCCACAACTGAGACGGAAATAGACAAACGGGGATAGTTGCTAAATACAGACAGCGTCTATTTGTTGCTTGTTTTTTTAAAATGTGTTTCTTTGTTTGATTCTTTATTTGTTTGTTTGAGTAGAAAGAAAAATGGTGAAATGGTATAGGTTTAACGCCCTTGTCAACACTATTAGGTTATTTCAGAGGCGGGGCCTCCGAGTTTAACGTCCGTCTCCGAAAGGACCGAGTCAAATGGGAAATTCGTGTTAAGTGCTTTTCCCAAGGACACAACGTCGGACCGAGCTGAGGCTCGAACCCCCGAATCCGCAATCAAACGATTACGAGTCCGGTAGCCTAACCACTAGGCTACAGACGCCACCTGAGTAGAAAGAAGCATAATGACATACGGTGGTGCTGGAGAAAGGCGAAAAAGACAGAAGCATTTGGGGGAAAGAGGAAAAAGGACTGACCATCAGCACCCTACAGCCACACGCCTGTTTTTGGTTTTTTGGTTTTTGTTTTGTTTTGTTTTGTTGTTTTTTAATCGGCGCTTGCAACTGAATGAGGTCATGGATTTATTGTTTGTTTGTTTGAATAATGTTTCTTTGCTTTTGTTGTAGCTGTTTTACACACATGTCGACAACAATAAATCATTAATTAAACATGCGTGCATGTTGCCTGTTGGAAGAAAGACCTAGATACACGATACACATTCTCCCCACACTGTTATCTAACTCGAAGTGTCTCCATCGGATGGCGAAGCACGTAACCACGACACAACAGACGCCGGTTGTTTTTGTCTGAATAAAAAGAAGCACGTCGTCACAATAATGGCGATTTACTGCTGGGAAAAAGCAAACGAGGAATGCAGAAAAACAAAGGGGGGGGGGGGGAGACAGAGAGATCCAAATGGAGAACCTAGCACCAGCCAGGAGGGGGGGGCGCCCCCCAACCACCCACAATGTGTACTTGTTATGGAATAAGTGAAGAATTTAGAACAAACGTTATCTAGGCAAATGAGTTTCACCAGTTCTGTTCCATTTGTTTACCAGAAAAACGGTGTAAAATGTCAGGTTCTCACTGTCGCGCGCAGTGGACATGAGTTTGATTCCAATGAATGGAAAATTATGAACTGAGAAATAGACCATGGAGATACTATATAAAGCAGTGTCCAACACAGTTCATTTTTGACCTGGCAAACAAGATCGAAGCCGCCCACCTCCTACATAATCTAACGTGTGCCGAGTCGACAGGAGATTAATCGGTTCTGACGTTGGTTAAAGGGGAGTTTGTTGAAGAGCATGAAGTTAGAAGAAGAAGAAGAAGAAGAAGAAGAAGAAGAAGAAGAAGAAGAAGAAGAAGGAGAAGAAGAAGAAGAAGAAGAAGAAGAAGAAGTTCTTCTTCTCTCGTAGAAGAAGTGAATCGATTTAGTTTTAGAGTGGTCTCACCTGGAACTGGAATAGCTACTTAAGTACTATATCCCGCTAAGCCGATACTAAGAGTCTGTTTCAACCGATTCTAAGATACTACATGTATATCATACTCAGCTTGGCTTGACCCTTGACCGCTTTCTGAATGGACAAAACGTTGTCGATGGGAGCTGAAAACATACTACTACGGCTACTACTACTGCTGCTACTGCTGCTGCTACTGCTGCTACTGCTGTTACTGTTGCTGGCTGCTGCTGCTACTGCTGCTGGCTGCTACTGGCTGCTACTGGCTGCTACTGGCTGCTACTACTACTACTGGCTGCTACTACTACTACTACTACTACTACTACTACTACTACTACTACTACTACTACTACTACTACTACTACTACTACTACTACTACTACTACTACTACTACTACTACTACTACTACTACAATACAAAAACGACAATAACAACAACAACAACAACAATCACCTTTCTCCTCCTCCTTGTCGACCTTAACCAAGTCTCCGTTGTTGTTCTCGAAATGCGTCACTTTTTCCTTGTGGACCATCGTGTTCTGCTGACTGGCCTGTTTGTCTGAGGACGGGGAACAGAGGACGTGGTCACTTCATAATGGGTTTCTTATGTTTCTTATTGTTTTTGTTTTAGTGTTTAAGCAAGACGTGACAGAGAGTTTATAACATCAAGCACTGAGGTTACAAAGGACGACGAAGGCCACGTAAATGGTGGATTGGGGGGAGTCAAAAAACCCTGAAAAATCCTATCCAAGTTGAAAGAGCTGCGGAGCTGGCCTACCATAGAAAAGTGAATCTCTCCTCGACTCTTAACGGCAACAAAGGAAGAACAAGTAAATATAAAGTAAGTATAGGTAAGAGTTTTGCGGCATTTTCAACATGCTTATGATTTAAAGTGATTCAAGAGAGAAACACAAAGAAAGGAAGAAGGAGCGATGATGATAGGAATGAAGGTGAAAACCACTCCTCAGGCCACGACAACCAGATACTTTTTCTACGAATGTGCGAATGTGTTTTGAAATACATATTACCTAATACTTTCAATTTCCATTGGGAAATATGCTTTACACTGGCGTACACAAATACGTAAAGGCAAGACTAGTCCACACTATCACACACATGGACTAGCAACACACCACTGCTGGACACTGCTGTGAAGCGTCCAATCTTTTAACTAGGGTTATTGTGTTTTACTCTCTTTCTTCCCGCGACACCCAAAAGGGTATAAGCGACGGATAAAAGTAAAAGTAAAGTAAGACTCAAGGACACGCCCCTGTAATCTTCCACCTGAACATCGTGCCACAAACAGAGAGAGGGGGGGGGGGGGAGATAGCGAAAGTAAAGGATAGATAGATAGATAGATAGATAGATAGATAGATAGATAGATAGATAGATAGATAGATAGATAGATAGATAGATAGATAGATAGATAGATAGATAGATAGATAGATAGATAGATAGATGGAGAAAGAGACAGACAAAGATAGACAGAGAGAGAGAGAGGAAGAGAGAGAGAGAGAGAGAGAGAGAGAGAGAGAGAGAGAGAGAAAGAGAGAGAGAGAGAATAACAGAGACGAATACACAAGTAACCTTACACACAATTATTGTCCAACTGGCTTTCCCGCCATCACACACTCGGGTAAAAACTGAGAAGCTGGCAACAATAGCCATCAATTATGCAAGGTTCGTGATAGTTTGTCGGGAGCACCCTCTGGTGAAGACTCTATCGTTCAACGTCCCTTTGATCTGAAATTTAGTGATGTCATCCGAACGGTGAAGTCATGAATAACCTATTGGTGTTTAAGTAATCGGTGTTTCGTTCAATACCGACTCAAGCGCGGGAGAGGTGAGTTGAGGAGAAGATCACGCCCAACCTTGACATCCTTCTGCTGAAGAGGTGGGTATGTTTAAGTATATTATTATAATGTTTAATTGAAAGTCAACTCTTGCCTAAAGCAATCTGGCTACTTTAGACATGATGATGTTGAAGCTGTAGCTTCTACGTTGTCTCTGTAGTCATGCAGCATATACAACAATTCTGTAAACTACTAGAATGTTTATGAACGTGAAACAAAAAAGAGCCAACAATTTTTTTAACAATGATAACAGCAATACAAATAATTTTGAACAAAATATCCCTTCTTTTTGCCTCTGTTATTGAATTCCTTATCCAGTCTACAGAGATTAGGAAAAGGGCAGTATACATTCTTGTTTCGCTCCAGGCTGTACCTGGAAGCTCCCAGTCAACTTCCTCTGTTAAATGACAGTGCATAACGATCTCTCATTGTAATCTTGTATCAACCTCACCAGCTCAGATGTCACAATACTTGCCGTGCTGTGGGGCGGCTAAGACAATCGAGTTTGAGCAGAAGATTACTTTACAGTAATACTATAATACTTAAGGTCGCAATCTGGTCGACGAATAAATAGCTTAGTTGGGATCCTGTCTGCTTTTGTCTGTCACTTTCTTTTTAAATGCTATCACAAGACAAGAGGAAGTTGGAGTGCCAAGCAATACGAATAAACAACATAAAAAGGTACACGTTTTTGGGTTGTTGTTTTTTAGATTGTCTGGTGGTCACTTTTTATTATATCTATTGTACAGAGTGATCTGTATGGAACATACTCGTGTCATTTCCCTCAGTGACCTCAAATGTGTTGTAAGTACTTACTTATTTTACATGATGATAAACAGGGTATGGGTTTAATGGATGATGATAAAGCTTCCTCCCTCCCCCCCACCCCCTACGTATCTTTCAGCATGCGCGACCAGCACACAACGATGTGGAACATTTCTTCCTGCAAATACTTTCGGTTTTTTTTTATGCCACAGTGACTACAATTACTGAACTGACGAACAAAATAAAGAAATAAACATTTCTAGATTGTTGAAATGAGTTTAGGCTGCCACGTACACGGTTTAGACTACACTCACTAACAAAATAAAGAAACAAACATTTTTAGATAATTGTAAATAGTTTAAAGGTGTCACAGACATGATTTAGATTATTCATAAGGTGGAATAGCATAACGCAGCTAGCATTAAGTGGTCAGCATAAAGCAAATAGATCAGCCAGGATACATCAGCCAGCATGAAGCAGCCACTCATAGATCAACCAGCATACACCAGCCAGCATAGAACAGACAGTATAAAGCAGCCAGCATAGAGCTGCCAGCACACAACAGAGATCATAAATCAAGCAGCATGCATCGCCCAGCAGACAGAGTCTGTCACATTGCCACTCGCCTCAGCCCCAGTGCACACTCGCTCTTGCCTTCAGCGTGCATGCATGGACAGTAATTCCATGGCCAGACGTCACCCCATGTGATGGGCGCGGATGAATATTTCATCTGGACTGTCACATAACGCTGAAGGAATACAAGTCAGAACTCCTCACTGAATCTTGTCAGTTGAGCAACGTCCCTGCTGTTTAGCTGTATGTGAATGCACGTGTGTTCCGGACCTGTCACTACTGTCAGAGCTAAAAATGTTTTCCACCGAACGTCGTGCCTTTATATCATGCGATTTCGA